CTTCCCAGTTTTCATCTACGTAGTCCTTGACACTCTGCTCCCGGATCTGCATGGACACGACCTTGAGCGCTGCCAAGTTGACACCCATCTCAGTCTTCTGTCTTCTCAAGGTGACCCTCAGGTTCGACCTGATGTTATCCAGCATCGCCTTCATCGTGCGGCTTGCTACGATCTGCTTATGATGCGTCTTGAGCATAAAGAACAAGATGCGACATGTGAGCGGGATATTCATGGAGCGCAGGGCGAAAATATTCAAAAATGTGAAGAGAATCGGAACGGAGGCGAAGGGGAGAACGAGAAGCGCGTCGTGGAGAGCAGAGGCTTTGATGCGCTGCAGGACGTTCATGAGGTGCACCTCGGCTGAGATGTTCCCCAGTGCAAGGAAGACGGGGTTTCGCTGGGGTCGAGGAGCGCTGGGATCCACGAGCTTGGCTTCCTCGTATTCCTTCAAGAGGTTGAGATCTGCCATTCCCATGTCGAGAGCCTCAGCTATCCGCTCACCGGCCATAAGCGTCTCTGTAGTCTGCTTGCTGGCGGCACCAACTTCGCCGTTCTCATCTGCAGCGTCTGGGTCCTTTTCCAGGGAGCCCGTGAGCGTGCTTTCGTACAACTCCTCAATTTCCTTCTCACGTTCTTCTTCGAGGAAGATCTGCTCCTCTGTTTCTTCCCAGACACGGATGCTCTTGTCATGTGCAGCACTCACGAGGAAGTTGCCGCTATGACTGATGGCGATGGACCATACTTCGCCATGGTGGCCATCCAATCTTTGGATCTGCTCGAACTTGTCACCATCCCAGTATCTGATGGTGCGATCCTTGCTACTACTGAAGAAGTGGTGGCCGTTGCCGTCGGAGTTGTGTGGGACAAATGCCACCTGGAGGATACTGTCCTGGTGACCAAACAGAGCTTTGTGGCAGTCGCCGAAATCCAGGCCCCATATTCTAATATTCTTATCGGCGGAACTTGTGACGATGAGCTTGCTATCGTATGAAATATCCATGCTCAGGACGGGGAGCTTATGTCCGTAGAGGTTGAGATACAGCTTCAAGGAGTCAACAAAGAACACCTTGACGGTATTGTCGAGAAGGGCAACGGCAAGCATCTTTGCGTCAGGAGAGAACTTCAGGCTAAGAATGTCATCCGACACCTTGAGCACTCTTGACTGCACAAGCTTTAGCTTTGGTGTCGTCCTCTTAGTACCGAGGACCTCCTCTTGAACAATCTTGAAGTTCCAAAATTTAGCCGTCTTGTCAGCGCTGCCGGATACAACAGAACGTCCATCAGGATGCAGGCTCAAAGACCAAACAGCGCCCTCATGAGCCTCCACGGTGTCTAGCACAGCTGCGGAGGCGATGTCGAAAAGCTGCAGCTCACCACTCTTGGTTCCTACTACAACTACTTTGTCACCTGGTAGGAAAGCACAGCTCAATGCATATCCACACTCAAATGTCCGGATGCAGTTTTCGGTCTTGACATTCCAGATTTTCAGTGTTCCGTTAGATGCAGAAGCAAGCATCTTATCGTCTGAGCTTAAAGAGAGGGCTCGGATATCCGATCGGTGTCCAGGTAACTCAACGGAGAGTGTCCTGATGTAGTCGGGAATGTCACCCTTCTCTTTCCGGTCGCTCTTCTCCTTCGAGGGCACACTGTAGTATTCCAACTGGTTGTTTGTTGTCGCAACCAAGAGATGGACATCCTTTTGCGGGCCGGATAATGCCCAGTCCGCCGACCTCACCTTGCCACCTGTGCGCACAGTAACGTATAGCACGAAGACGTCACTAACATCGGCCTGCGAGACATCTTCGGCCTTCTCGTCTCCATCAGCTTCAGCCTCGCCTCCATCCGCTTGGCCATCCTTCTTCTTCTCCCTGCGCCGTCTCCGCTTTCTCGCCAGACTCTTTTTGATCTCGGCTTCAGAACGTATCCGCCAAATCTCAACAGCCTTTTCTGAGCCGTGAACGGCGAAGTAGTCCCGTCGAGGGTGGAATGAGATTTCTGTAGCCCTGTCTTTGCTTTGGCGGTGCAGAGTACCCCGATCCTGCAGATAGCGAGCATTCGAAACCTCAACCTGGCGCGCGCTGTTGGCCAAGCCATTGACATCCAAAGACCAGACCTTCATCTCACCATCATTTCCAGCAGTGATACAACCGCTTAGATCCGGAGACAGTCCAAGTGCCCAGCACTCCCCGTTGCTTTGGGAGATGTGCGTCTCTATGCAATGCTTTGATGATAAATCCCAGATCTTGAGCAATGAATCCTTTCCGGTGGTCAGAAGGAAGCCCTCTGAAGTCTGCTCACCGAGAGGTGTCGGTTGTGCTCCGTCATCTTCCTGCGCTTGAGCCTCGGGCTCGATGAAATAGAGACCCGTCACTTGGTCCTTATGGCCGCGGAGCTTGAATTGGCCAACTTCTGCTACCAAGTCCCAGATAATGATGTCGCTGTCTTTTGATCCACTGGCAAGCCTCACGCCTGACTTGTCGAACGCTAACTTGGTGACTGCCGTTTTATGCCCGTTGAAGTTGACAATGACAGTGGCAATCTTGCCATCCCAAAGGCGAATGCTGCCATCCTCGTATCCGACCGCAAAGACGTCTGGGTCTGCTTTGCTCTGAGCAATTGCCGTCGCTGGCGCAGTGCCTCGCTCGTCTTTCCAACGGTTCACGACCTCGCCCTTCTTCAGATCCCAGCAGAGAATTTCTTCATTCGCGGCGACAACTGCCTGCCCTGCGCCGGTGCCATTGCGATCCTTGCCCGTCCAGAGGATGTTCGAGGTGCTCGAGGCAACTACACCAAAGGATTTGGCATGTTCGTACTTCCTGTTTGAAAAATAACAAGTTAGAATCAGGAAGAAACTTGATTTCTGTAATTGAGAACTTACAGGTATGACTTGACCATTTTCCCTGAGCTGTTGTCTAAGCTGGCGCACTTCTCACGGCCATGTACTTCAACCAAGATTGGCACAGAAGCGACAAACTTCTATAAGAGTGGGATTGGATTTTTTTCTTATCGATAAACATTCCGGCCCCACCAGCCGGCAGCTCATGGCGGTGCCTGTGGCGGTGCGTTAGACCGCTCAAAAGCTCGGGACACAGTCACGTGTGTCACCGGCCAGCCAAGTGACGTCCTAGTCCATCAGTTCAAGGTGAGCTCTAAGCAGGTGCCTCGACAGGCCCCACTATCATACAGTCGTCAGCGAGCTCCCCAACGACAACGAAGCAGACAGCAGTTGGAGATAGCAAACAGCGATCAAGATGCTCCTCCTCGACTACCAGAACGTACTGATTCAATCGGTTCTCACCGAGAGATTCTCAGGGTAGGGATAGATACGTCTCCCACACTGGCACAAGCAAGTACCTGACATGAGCGCAGTGCCCCTCCCGTCCTCATTGATCAAACCGTTTCCGATTTCGACGGCGTCATCTTCCATATCTCAACCCCCGAGAGCAAGACCCAAATTCTGCTGTCGATTCAAATCAGATGCTTCAAGGACCTCGTTCAGTATGGCGCCGAGCAGGTACTTCAGCGAGAATACGGAGACTACGTGGCACCGACTGAGCCCGGCTACGATTTCTCGGTCCAAATCGACTTAGAGAACCTGCCCGAGAGCAAGGGTAAGAATCACCTATGCAACAACGGTCCTCAGATGCGTTATCTGACACAGCATTCACAGAGGAGCGAGAGGCTTTGGCTCTGAAGTTTGCCCTACTGAAGCGAAACGCCATGGCGGCCCCGTTCGAGCAGGCATACCAAGAGTACTACGAATTGAAGGAGGAGGCTTCCAAGTTCACTTCGGAGGAGGCACCTCAAGGTGTCCAAGAAGGTGGGGAGGTCAAGGCTATCCACTACCGCGAGGAGGAGGCTATCTATGTCAAGGCTAGCCACGACCGAGTGACGGTCATCTTCAGCACCGTTTTCCGAGAGGAGACAGACCGCATCTTTGGAAAGGTGTTTATCCAGGAATTCGTCGATGCCCGCAGGCGCGCGATCCAGAATGCTCCCCAGGTCCTGTTCAGGAACGACCCTCCTTTAGAGTTGGAAGGTGTCCCGGGGGTGCGAGCTACAGGATCCGAAAAGATCGGATATGTTACTTTTGGTACGTCATGCTTCGTCGAGAAAAGGGGCTCTCATTGGCTAACAATAAGTTTTCAGTTCTCTTCCCCAGACACTTGACCGTCCAGCGTATGCCCGAGGTCATCTCTCACATCCAGACCTTCCGAGACTACTTCCACTACCACATCAAGGCCTCCAAGGCTTATATTCACTCCAGAATGCGAAAGAGGACAGCCGACTTCCTCCAAGGTATGCCACATTTATCTCTAATATGTTATGTTACTGGAGCTAACCGGGAACAGTATTGCGTCGTGCCCGGCCCGAGAATGAGGAACGTGAAAGAAAGACAGCAAGCGGACGTACATTCAAGGTGCAAGGAAGCTAAGAGACGATCAATTCACGGATGCATAGGTCGGCCAAATCAATTACCTACAAAGAACAAGCAGTTTGTGGTGATTGAAACCAAGGCAGGGGATGGAATCAAGACGTTTTCGGCCAGGTCAAAACAGTTAGATTTGAACAGAAGCGAGTGCGGTAGATGGGATGAATTTAAATACAACATTATCCTCAACTGGCTATCGGTGTTGTATTGCTGGTGCGTAGTTAACAGATCACGGATGGCAAGCCCAGTAGTGGAATATAGCGTGTCCCTGGTGGTTGGCTTCAATTAATGACTATGTTTCATACAAGGTCAAATACACATAAATCCTATGCGATACGCGTGAATCCCTCCTTAGTAGGTCAAGAAAACGGAGTAGCGAGTTCGCAATCTGGGGAATTGGGGGGTTGGGATGCACCAATAATACTTTGTGGAAGCTGCACCCCACCACCAATGAAGAAGTTTTAGACCGACCATTTCCGACAGCAATGGCGGCCTAATCTCAGATACAACAAACGACCTCAAAACTCGCCGCACAGCATAACAACTCGGCCTTCGGGTCAAAAGTACAATGGTATGGCCATTTGGATCCGGGAAGGAAAAGAGCAACGACAATGGCTCCAATGCAAAGACCAAGCAGCCAGTGTCCTGGTCTGATTCGCTGAGCATATCAACTCCCGACCAGTTCGCCGCAGCAAAAGAATGGGCGCCCATGGTTGTGTTCTCTCTGGTTGGCCTCGGCGCATTGCAGCTCTACTCGAATTACCTTCGTCGGATTCCAGGAGCCGCATTTGTGCGACCGTCCTTTTTCCGAAGCCGGAGCCTCTACGGTCGAGTGACAAGCGTGGGAGATGGCGACAACTTCCACATGTTCCATACGCCGGGGGGTAAAGCCGTGGGCTGGGGCTGGTTCAGGCGAATTCCCAACACGAGGAAGGACTTGAAGGATCGAACGGTAAGGGAGTCTTTCAACTCTACGTGGACCCTGCTGAATGCCGGTCTGGCACCGACATAACTAATGGCTTGAAATATTCATTATACAGATTCCAATTCGCATCGCAGGCGTCGATGCACCCGAGGGTGCTCACTTTGGGAAGCCGGCCCAGCCATTCGCTGCTGAGGCTCTCAAGTGGCTGTCAGACTACCTTCTGCACCGCAATATTCGGGCATACGTCTACAAGCGAGACCAGTATAATCGAATTGTGGCAACTGTCTACGTTCGGCGTTTTCTCATTCGGAGAAACGTGGGCTTGGAAATGGTAAAGCGCGGTCTTGCAACGACTTATGAAGCCAAATCTGGAGGCGAATATGGCGGGTTAAAAGAAGTTTATGAGAAGGCTGAGGCCAAGGCCAAGAGGCAGCGAAAGGGCATGTGGGCTGGAAACCAGAATGAGTTTGAGAGCCCACGACAGTACAAAGACAAGTGGGGTAAGCATGAAAAACCAAGCTGATAGGAGCTGTGAAGATGACCGTTGTCATCCCAAGTCGCCCATCTTGGTAGCGGCGCCTATAATGCAAACAGCAGAAGCTATGCAGTTATGAACTCTGCATTGGTGTGGTATCTTCTCTACTATAGAAATGGAGATTTTGACGGCTGTGTGAGCTTCTTTCAGTCTCAACTACGTTGGTTGACTTCCCTCTGGTCCGTGCTTTGTAAGATGAGTTCTCACTAATTTTTTTTCTCGTGTTAAGCTGGGATTCGGCATTTGTCATGTCTTGGTATATAGAGGGCTGATTGTGTTGAACCGCCATGGTTCGTGCTTAATTAGTCTGGGCTGTCTCAGATTATGTGTTGAGACGTTGAGGCAGATAAATAGGTATTTGCGACACCCAACCTCCTCTGCAGAGATCTCAACGTTGCTGTCGAAGGGATCAGCCAATTGAATAACCTGCTTATTGTGGTGGAGAAGCAGGAACAAAGACACAAAGAGGTGACCAAATCTCCATGAAGATCTCTTTGTCTCTGACAGTAATATAATGGAGACCAAAAGTTAGAAGTAGAGCAATTGTGAGATAGAGACTTACAAAAGGCTTCACTGACATCTAATTAATACAAGATCTCAACTACCGGGTAGGACCACTTGCATAACAGTACAATACACAAAGTTTGCTGTCAGTCATGCCATTGAACTTATTCTGCTCAAACGTCTATACGAAATATTATGGGGCGGTGTGATGTGTGCTGTGAGATCCATGAAGGCCCCACATGCAGCGTCAGTGAAGGAAACTGGGTGGCAATAAGTACCCAGTACTTGCCTCTCTATCAACCACCTCAACACTCAGGGAAGGTATCAGGCTACAATAGCACGGCTGGTTTTGCAGGCTTCTTGCCCGAGCAGTATCAGGTATGTAAGTGAGTGGCGCTGAGTGGCAACACTTGTTTGCTGGAGCATGGGCCGGCCAGCGAGCATGAATCGCATGGGATGCTAGGACTGTCGCCTACCCCGGCTGTCTTGCCAGCAAAAGCGACAGGTACCTTCTTCAGCACGAAACTCACCCGCCCCCCTTCGAGTGATACCTGGCTCGGTGGCGTTTAGCTTGACCTAAAATCCTCCCGCCCATTGTGTGGTGCGATGTGACCCAACCTCCTTTGGGAGTAAGGGACAATGAGTCGGGTGGTGCAAGAAAGCGTAGGTTCTGGGGTGCATAGTGCTGTGCAGCGAACAATTCGAACAATTCTCCAATGAAAATGGAGTCATCGCACAAGTCCTGACAAGGCATCGTATGCTTGGATCCGCTATTTACGAGTCGGCAGCCTCTAGGAATGCGCATTGTCCATTGCATGGGCTGGTGTAATTTCTTCTCAGTGCAATTAGGACCTGGCCGCCGTTACATGGGAGATCGGATTGGCTCAAGGTGGCTAGCGTCGAGGCTGAGGGAGGCAGGTACCAGGTACATGTGCTCTCGTGTGAGAACAACATCCAGCTAATTTCCCTCTCTGCTAGGTCCCGGCGGTTCGCCCAGGAAGGTGCAACTTCAAACTCCAACTCCTTTCAGCAAAGGCAGTTCTTCTTCCTTGTGTGTCTCTCGACAATATCGGCTCAGCTTGGCGACGGTCGTTCGACTCATCCAAGGCCACCGAGGCCATATGCAAAAATCATCGTACCCTTAATATTCTATATTCTTACACTCATTTCTCTGCACTTTTCTCGCCTTGTTGTACAAGGTCGCCCTGGCGTTCGCGTCACACCCACTCGCTCAGATTCCACACCTACGCCCCTCCCTCTCTTCGACCTCACCACGAATTCCTCTCGGTTGCTATGGCCAACGCATGAATCAGAAATGCTCATAGATATTCGATCATTACTTGACGCTATTCTCTTATTCACACCGACCCAACCACTCTCATAAATTCACCCGCCGCGACCACCTCGATCCTCGACGAATTCAACGCGGTAGCAATGCGACTCCCCTGGGGCCACCGCCACCCGGCAGCCCGGCCTCGACGGCCAAACGCCTTGGGCCTTTTGTCGGTTTTATTATTTTCACCACCTTTCACAGCCGCATTCAAATTCGAAGAGGCACCATCGGCCAATCTTGATATATCCGGGCTGGGAAGGGTAGCTCTTGCTGGAGACTTTAGCGGGATCTCGCTATACGAGTACAAAGAGCAGACTGGGAGACCGTCCGGCACCAATGGAAGCGAATCTCTTGTCGCGGTTCTCCCCAACGGCGCCCTCGCCACCTTGGTATCCACAGATGCAACTATCCGGGCCATGTGTACATTTCAGCTCAAAAATGGTGAAATGCAAGGAATTATAATTGGTGGTAATTTTACGAGCTTGGACGGTACGCAATCGACGGCAATCGCACTCTACAATCCAGACACAGGCAATGTTACTCCTCTGGACGGCTTGAAAGGTGAAGTAAACGCCGTCTATTGCGACCAAGACAGGGACACCGTATACGTTGGGGGTAATTTTAAGGGTGCCGACTCTACGAATGCAATCGCCTGGTACGGATCTGAAGGGTGGACGAATCTCCCATTTGCTGGATTCAATGGCCCAGTCGAATCGATCACCAAAGCTGCCAGTGGACATATCATTTTTGGAGGAAGTTTTACTGGTTTAGGAAATTCCAGCTCTCCGACCGAGCCTGACGGGCAGGTTGTAAACATTGCAACTGCTACGATCACGTCACAGAATACCGCCTCCGGAAGTAATCACTCAAACATTCTTTGCCCTAGCAGCAATTCCTCGGATACAACTAGTTGGCTCTTGCAGGACAAAACCGCAGGTGTTTGGGACGCACAGCTCGGCTTTGGTTTCGAACCGACCAAGCTCAGACTATGGAACACCCACAAGGATGGCCGTGGTACCAAGACGTTCCGATTCACGGCTTTCCCATTGAACGGCATCATGAACTTTACCTACGTGGACCCGGCCAGTAAAGAGAACAAGACCTGCACTAGCGAATGCCAGTTGAGCGATAATTCCGACGTCGAGTATCAGGATTTCCATTTCGTCAACCGAGTTGGCATGAATAGATTCACGATTTCGATCTCTGACTGGTATGGCTCCGGCGGTGGCCTCAATGGGATTGAGATCTTCCAAGACAACATCTTCTCATACGCTATCAACGACTTCAACGACCCTTCGTGCGGTTCTATTGATTTCCCATCCAAGGCAACAGTGACTGGGCCCTGGACCGAATCACCCTCTTTGGAGAGCAATTCCAAGTATCTCACGAGCACACTAACAAGCAATTCCAGTGCCGAGAATCTCGCAGTAAAGTTTCTCCCAAACATTAGAGAATCCGGCAACTACTCGGTTGATATGTATACGCCAGGATGCCAGCCGGATGGAACCTGCTTGTCGAGAGGCCGTGTCAACGTGACGGGTTACATGAAGTCAGGTTCTGATGAGCCTGATTTCAGCATCACACTCTATCAAACGAATAACTTCGACAAGTATGACCAAATATACTTTGGGTACATCGAGAACAGCGCAGACAACTTCAAGCCAAGTGTTGTGATCACTCCCATTGACGGCGAATCCGTCAACGGTCAGGTAATGGTCGCACAAAGAGTAGGCTTCACCTTGATCAACTCAACCGGTGGTTTGAATGGTTTGTACGACTTCAACCCAGATCAGAGTGTGGTTAGCACAGACGACTTCCAAAAATCGGCGATTAATCGGCTTGGTGCAAGCTTCGACCACAATACGGGAGTTAAAAAGTTGCTCACATCGGGCAACGACACATTTATTGCCGGCAATTTCACGTCCGATAAGCACGTCAATATTGTCGCTATCAACCGCAGTGATGATGTGCGTGCCCTCGACGGTGGATTGAACGGGCCGGTCCTGGACATGTACTTGAACGGGACCCAGCTCTTTGTCGGAGGTGAATTCAACAATACCCGCACGAACGCCAACACTGGAATGAACCACGTCGCGGTGTATGATATGGATAAAGATACGTGGAGCGCTCTTGGAGCGGGTGTTGATGGGAGAGTTCAATATGTGGTACCGCTGCAGGCAAACATCACATCAGACACACCCGAGACTGTCATCACGCTCACTGGCTCTTTCTCAAAGTGCAACAAGTTTAACGACAACGAGGCCATCAGTGTCAGTGGATTTGCAGTTTGGGTACCCTCTCAAAACAACTGGCTCCAAAATCTCGACGGCCCAGTCCCAAGTTACAGCGGTGTTCTGACTGATGCACTGCTGGATATTCCGAACACCGATGCTATTTATGCCGGCTCACTTTCCTCGGCCCAGATGGGTGCTAGCGGCGCTGCTTCTCTAGACAAGGATGGCCTCGGCAGATTCCCAGTGTCTATTGGTGGTATAGAATCATCTTCTTCCTCAGGGCTTTCACGCCGTGACGTGGCGTCCGATGATAGCAACCCCGGAGTTACCACGGGCCATTTCTATACGGAACAAGACCGCAACCTCACAATTTTCGCTGGACACTTCACTGTTCAACCAGAAAATGGATCCGCCATCAATAATCTTGTCATTATTGATGGAGGCAACAAAGACTCTGCTTCCGGGCTCGGCGATAGCATCGATGCCAACTCTACTTTCCTTGCCATGGAAATCGTAGATAGTGTTATCTATGCCGGAGGACGAGTCACCGGTAAAGTAGGCGATTCGAATGTTGGGGGCATCATCGCTTACGACTTGTCATCCAAATCTTTGGGGGAGCAGCCTGCGGCGCTTTCTGGTGGCAATCGCACCGTGTCCGTCATCAGTGTTCGCCCCGACACTCCTTCTCAACTCTTTGTTGGTGGCTCTTTCACGGGCGCTGGATCATTGGACTGTCCAGGAATATGCATTCTTGATACTGGCACAAAGCAATGGTCCCGTGCCGGTGGTAATTTTGGCGGAGATGTCCGCTCTTTTCTCTGGAAGGATAAGAAAACCCTTTTGGTTGGTGGCAGCCTAAAGAACACCTCACTGTCCATCTACAGTCCTGAAAATCAGAGCTGGGAGGACTACCCAAG